AGGTGGTTTGGGCATCTGGTCAGGATGCCTCCTGGACGCCTCCCCGGGGAGGTGTTTCGGGCATGTCCTGCCGGCTGGAGGCCCCCAGATCGACCCAGGACACGTTGGAGAGGTTACATCTCCAATCTGGTCCGGGAACATCTTGGAGTCCTGCTGGAGGAACTGGTGGAGGTGGCTGGGGAGAGGACGGTCTGGAGCTCCCTAGTTGGGATGCTGCCCTCACGACCCGGACCCGGATAAGCGGAGGGAGACGACAACGACATATTTAAATATCTAGCTGCAGAAGCTTCTGGCTTCAGAATCGTTCCTAATGTAAAACTGAACATTTTGTTGTAAACAGTGGATTTTGTAAAGGTTATATAAATGATTTGTATTTTCATCACACGACAGCTCCGGCCAGTGGCCATTTAAATTGGTTTCAGTGAGCACCCAGCAAACATTCGGACGTTTAATCAACGTTAAAAAGACGTCAGGCCGACTCATCCCGTCACGGTTGAAAAATAGTTCCAAAATGAAAGTTGAACCGACGTCTTTACTGGACGTGAATTACACGTCTTTCGGCACGTCTCATTTGGACGTTTAATGATCGTCAGTGTACAACTCATCTACACTGTAAAATAAAATGTAGTTTTAACATTTAATAATAATTATAATAATTGGATATTTCCTGTGTCCGATCTTGCTTTACTGATGGACTTATCCCAGCTTGGACTCAAACCCGGGTACTCTAGAGTGTAAGTCAGATGACTAACTGGTTGAGCTATCCCGTTGATATTTATGAAATGACTAAATTAAATTTTCATGTTAAATGTTATGTTATTTTTTTTTATTTGGAACGTCCTACTGCGACTATTTTTGCCCGTGGACACGCCGTTGCTATCAGACCCATATTTGCTGGGATGCTATGTTGAACTACACGTAACCACTTGCTAAAATAACAATTATACATATAACTGTAGGCATGTACAAATGTATCTGAATGGACTTTTAAGACATGTTCTGTTATATTTTTTTTTTACAAATTCGGGCCGTCTTACTGCGACCATTTTTGGACGTGGACACCACGTTGGCGTCGGACTAATGTTTGTTGGGTAGAGAAGCTGTAGTCCTGTGTTGCGTGACTCAATTTTCCTTTCTGTAATCTGTTTTTTATTAGAAAATCTGTTAGAAAGTCGTTGTTAGCAAGTAACATACAGAGGTGGTGAGTGAGCAGCTCGGACAGGTAGCGGGGAGCCTGATCGTTGAGAGCTTAGTTTATAGATTTCAGTGAATGTTCACAAATCAACCTGATTTAAGATGACCACCAGAGATATTTGACCTTAGAATTAGGAAAAAAAAGGATTTCCATTAAATCAACCTTCAACTTAATATCTGCAAAGGAGACTGAGGTAAAGTCATGTTTGTGTCAGCTAGCAGACTGATGGGCGGGATCGTAGACATAGATCGTGGTCATTTAAAACTCCCTCGTTAAATATGATCGGTAAAAAGACGTATGGAAACAACTTGGTAATAGTAACAGTGTAAAGGTGAATGTAAAGGTGAACTACTTCTTTATGTTTAACAACGGCAAAGGTATACAGGCTTTTATTTTGATAGCGTCATAGCAACCGTAGCCAAGTAAGGAGGCGCAACGGGCGCAACACAGAAGAAGCAAACGGCAATCTAATAGAAGTAAAGACGGAGCAAAGGATAGGCTATTAATGGTTCACGGAGAAGAAGAAGACAAAGAAAGTTTGAAGAATACTTCTGTCTAGCTTCAGTTGATAAGGGGAACAAGGTTTGTAACTATAATTCAGAATGTTGTTATGAAAATGGAACGTGTCTATATGATTGTATTAATTGTGAAAAAGGCTACCAATGTAATCAGTTATGCATTATGGTTTATTTTATGATTTATTTATTTTTTGTTTATGCCTAGCTCTTACGTTGGTTGGTTGATGATACGGACGGCTCAATAAATCATCATTCACCATCAGTTCCGGCCTTCTCAATATTGACTGAATGCTACAGTTTGCTTTGAAAAAAAAGAACAAATCTGTGAAAGCAGACCTGGACTTGAATAATAAGCTGCATGTTTTAAGTCAGTGGGTCCTGCTTTAAGACCTAAGCGGTGTCATTATCAGCCTGTTTGCTGGCACAGAATGTGAATCAGCTGCTCTTGGGTTCAGACCAAGATGGCACCAACCAGCCTGCTAATTTGATGATCAGATATAACAGCTACACGGTCTAATTAATGATTATTGTTCTGTGTTTTGGCTTTGACTAATCCTCGGGAGGATGTCACATGCTGTTACACTTCCCTCATGGCAAGAAACACTTGTGTCTCCTCATATTACATTTTCTTTTATGCCTCACTGAAAGTGCCAATAATTCATATGAACTGAGTCATGTAATCATTCGTTATCACTCTCCTCATTTTGTGTTTGAGAGACTAGCTTAATCAATCTTGGAGTGGGACTGCAGAGAGTCAGATAAGACGACTCGTGCCCCATTATTGTCCTAACATGATGGATGAGGCCAGCATCAAGCCCCAAACAAGGACTGCTGCTTGTTTTTAGTAACTCCCACAAGCCTGGACAGATTAACGTGATCCTGTGATGAAATGAGCTGAAGAAAAGAATACAGCTTTACCTTTAGTAACTTTTCTCCTTTTGTTCTGCATCACATAACGGTAAAGGTTGTGTGACTGACCAGCAATGCTAGAAAAGTGATGCAAAGTAGCAGAAATGGCTCAGAAAGCTGCTCAAATGAGATGTTTCTTAGATGTTCATGCTAAATGATAAATGAACTGAACAGTTAGAAAGCTATAAATATCTTTGCTTTTTAAACTGTCTCCACATGCTATTGGACAATGCTAAAAGGGAGTTTTCCTCTTCACTGTCGCTACATGCTTGCTTAGTATGAGGATTGCTGTAAAGACACTGACGGTAGTCAGTGACTCGATGCAACCTGGAATGTTTACTGTGTGAAGTGCCGTGAGACGACTTGTCGTGATTTGGCGCTATAAAAATAAACTGAATTGAACTGAACGGTGTGAGGTACTTAACTCTATGAATGTCGGTCAATGGGGAAGTCTTCCATATGTTGAAGACAACACAGAAACATCCTTTTTCTAACAAAAAAGAAAAAAAAAACTTAAGTACCTCTATCAGCTTCATTCTTGGCTCAAAGAAAAGCCCAAGTCTAAATAGTCCAAACTAGTAGAGCTGTACGATTATGGCAAAAATGATAATCACGATTATGTTGAATGAAATTGAAATCTCGATTATTTAACACGATTATTCAGTAACATTGATTAAAGTCATTTATTGAACATAACATTGACTTTTTAACATTTATCATCTGTGGCTTTACAGACATTTAGCAAAACTGACTTTTTAATTCTTCCAAACTAAAAGTGTAACTTGGTGTAAAGTGCAACAACAACTGAAATGTACAAATACACACTGTATTAAAATTAGGGATGGGTACCTTTGACATTTGAATCGATCCGGTACTAATTCCCGGTACCTACGAATCGATACCGGTACTTAACAGTACCAATTTTCGATACTTTTGAGTGTTTATTATTTTAATTCTCTTTTATAATTAAATATATTTTTTTCTCAATATATAACAATATTTGATATATATCACGATAACATTCAACTGTTTGTATTTTAACATCATCCTTGTAGTTTTATAAGCTGATAATTAAACTGAAGCAAACATCTTTACTGTGAACTAAATTTACTGTGTATCTTCATTCCTTTTGCCGTCTTTTTTCATTTGATTTTTCCTACTGGGAAGCTAGAATTTCCGAGGAGAAAGCAAATGCACCATTAGCTGATAACAATGGTAGCAATGGAAGCTAACTTACCACGCTAACGTTATCTTAAACTGTTTATTTAACTGCTGGAGCAGATTAAAACGATGATGCCTCACACTTAGATCGTCGTCACTGGTTTAGTCTTCACCCAATCACCCGTCGCATTTAGTAAAGTGAAGCCAAACTTTAGAGCACGTTCATGTTCTTCTAGTCGGGAATTCTGAGTTCCGAGGAGAAAGCGAACGCACCATTATCAGAACGGAAGCTAACATATCAAGCTAATTATATTTACCTACCGGAGCAGATTAAGATGAGGATGTCTCACTTAGATCGTTGTCGCTGGTTTCATCATCACCCAGTTACCCATCACATTTAGTGAAGTGGAGCCAAGCTTTAGCGTGCGTTCTTTCTACCATGCTGCTCTGTTTACAACTCACTCGCAGCAACCGACGACATAACGCTCATGTGCATGCGCAGCTGTCTAGGCAAGTTCTCGTTATGAAGGACGGGTACTGAAACGAGGCACCGTTTCAAATGACGTGAATCGGTGCTCGGTCGGTACTATGGAATTCGGTCGGTACCTTAAAAAGTACCGAATTCGGTACCCATCCCTAATTAAAATAGAGTATATATATATATGTATATATATATATATATATATATATATATATATATATATATATATATATATATATAAAGAACATTTTGCCATGAACTTCCACAACCTACTGAAACTACCTTCAATAGTAAAACAATGAAATGTAAAAGCTATTTATTTTCATTCATCCTTCATGAATCAGGGTGAAACATCACACGTTATTTTGAGGTATGTAAATCTTAGTGTGTGGTACCTGGAAAAAAAATCCAGTAAGGCACCACTGATTGTAAACAATACCGTCTACATAAAAAAGGACTAAAATAGTAACTTTGTCTTTAAATATAAAATATAAAGTGCAACAACAACTGAAAAGTACACAGTGTATGAAAATAGAATACATATAAAGAACATTTAGCCATGAAATTAATTCCACAACTTAAACTACTGATCTTTAAAAACTAAAATAGAAAACAAATGTGCATACTCAAGTCCTTTACTTTTTCACTCTCTCTTTATGTAAGGTTTTTAGCCAAAAAGACAAGCCTGCTGACATGGTCTGGCTTCAGAGATGCACGCAGACAGGTGACAATATTGCCACCTGTGCTGAAGACCCGTTCCAAAGAGGCACTTGTGGCTGGGATGCAAATTAATTTCTTCGCAAGGAGGGACAACTTTGGAAAGAGCTTCTGGGATTGCTTCCACCACTCCAGGGGGTCTTCCTCAGTGTCAAGAGTCTCTGCCTGGAGGTAGGCCTGCAGCTCTAAGGCTATGGCCTCGTCTGGATGCAAAGCCCCGCACCACCTGGAGAAGTGCTCTCAGGGACCTCCAAGAAACTGCCCAGGCCCTTCTTCCTCCTCTTCTTCTGTGCTTGTTCTGTGTCATCAGATTCAGCAGGCATCTGCATCACTGGAGTCTCCTTTAAGGGGAAAATTAGAGGTCAGAGTGTGAAAGAAAAAAACGTGTTTTGTCTGTGTAGTACAACTATTATTTTAACATTAAAGCTTCGAATTAAATTAGGATTTTACTACACACAAATCTGAATAAATGTGTATTATAATTTATATTAGAATAGAATAGAATTATTACCGTCATCTCCTTCATCTCTCTTGTCAATCCGACTTTCACCGACTCCTGGATGACTTCACTGCTGTACTTCATCTTGAACCTCGGGTCTAGGGCAGTGGCAATGTCTAGCAGCTCCTGGGTTGGAGGGTCATTGTATTTTTCATTTAGGTAGTCCAGAATTTTTTTCTTGATTGATTTGGAAAGATCTGTGTCATCATTTTGGTCTGCCAGGATTGAGTTATTGAAGAGATGTAGTGTTGGTTTCACCAAGGACACACTCACATATTTTTCACCAGAAAGAGCATCGGTGAAACCAACCAGAGGGCCCAGGGTCTTGCTGACGGCCTCAAGGACATCAATGTCCTGCCATGTGGGGATGAAGTGCCGGCTTGCCCTGTCTTGAGAGAGGACCTGGGCAATAGCCTTCTGCTGCTCGAGGACTCTGGAAACCATTGCCTGCCTTGAACCCCATCTTGTTGGACACTCAGTCTTTAGTGAGTGTTCAGGCAGACTCAGGGCCTTCTGCGCCTTGGCCAGCTCCTTCTTCTTTTTCCAACTGTAGGAGAAGGTGCCGACCACCTCCTTGCAGACCCCAATTGCCCGATCAGTCCTAGCATCTTTCATGGCTCTCTCTGTGATTAGGGAAAAAGAACATTCTGTTAAGATATTAATTTTAATTTATTTGTTATTATAATATATGTATATATATATATATATATATATATATATATATATATATATATATATATATATATATATTTATATATATTTATATATATATTTATATATATTTATATATATATTTATATATATTTATATATATATTTATATATATATATATATTTATATATATATATTATACAATCCACAGATAGGACTATCATGTGTGTGTGAGAGAGAAAGAATATCTTTCAGATTACGTATTCATTCATATAATTATTTCATAACGGATTCATTTTGAATGAATAAATGACTAAACAAACAGTAACTTTGCCTTGAGATACAAAGTTCAACTGAAAAGTAAAAAATATATACTGTATAAAAATAAACAGAATAAATATAAAGAACATGTTGCCACCTACTTAAACTACTACTGGCCTTTAGTTAAAGAATGAATCAAACGTCAAAGCAAGTTATATCATTCATGAATCAAAATCTCAAATATCACACTTACGTGGGAAAAATCAACAAAGGTAGGTAATGACTGTAAACAATTAAACAATAACAATGTGATGGCTTCTGCATTTTCATAAAGGTTTTTAGACATACATGGCCTGAGGTTGTAAACACTGTGTGGCAATTAATTTAATTTTTTTCATTCAATTCTAATAATTACATTCGTAAATCATATCCAGCTTACCTATGGCCAAATGGAGTCTGTGTCCGAAGCACTGAAGCCTCATCCAGCGTTGAGATGAGCAGCCAGTGTTGCATTGCGGGCGTTGTCTGTGGTCATGCAGATGAGTTTCCCCTCCATCTAGGTTCCGAGCAGCCATCGCTTGTCTCAGTCCAGCAGCGATGTTCTGCCCTGTGTGATCCTCTGGGAAATAAGACGTCTGTAGACATCTAGTTTCCATGTTGAAATCGGCATCTATAAAATGAACCGTGAGGCTCATATACGGTTCCATTGTTTGGCTTGACCACAGGTCGGTAGTGGTGGTGAAATATTTAGCATTAGCAAGGTCCTTTAGAACGCCCTGGCGACACTCATCATAAAGAGCAGGGAGACACACTCAACTGAAATGATTTCGAGATGGCAAGTCGTACCTTTTATCTAAAGTCTCGACAAGTTTCTTGAATCCCACATTAGCTACAGTGTTAATGGAGCTCTGGTCTTTGGCAAGGAAAAAAGCAATGTTGTTTGTTATTTGTGTCTTCGAGAGCTTGTGGGGTATTTTGTTGCGTTGTAGAGGGTGTCCTCAATGGATGTTTGACAAGTGGAAGCTGTCGGGGTTGAGACGGTTTTCTTCTCTATTTGTTCTTTCATCGCCTGATCAGATATCACTTTGTGTGATGACTTTAAATGGTTAAAAAGATATGTCGTGTTGCTTTGTGGCGCAAGAAGGACGGCATGGCAATATTTACATATTATTGTTTGCTGACACACATCTGCTTCCTCGAACCCGAAGTGTTTCCACACCACAGAAGCGATTTTTCCTTTTTTCTCCACCAGCGGTTGTCTTTCTTCGGACATTATCTCCCCCTTATC